ATGAATTAGTTAAAAAGAGAGATAACGTTATCGAATGAGGTAGAATTTACTTGCATAAATATCATAAGATGTTGATTGAATACCTAATGAGAAAAGAAAAAAATATAACGCCAATATATAGTCTTTTTCCCTAATTAAAGTCTCAATGTGTTGACTAAGTACTGTACTTGGATACTTCCATCTCACTTCCAAAATGAACTTCATTAGATATGACATCTTATAGATATATAATTAGTCATTTAACAGGATAACGCATGCAAATATCTGTTGTACACACGGATCTGTCTCTTTGGATTATGAATTGCGCGTGAGAGAGAAGCATGAAGGATGTACACGTTGTGCATGGAAGACTTAGTCGTCTAGTCTTCTAATCCATCACTTTGAAACATTCGTTGCATGTTACTATACGAGGATAACATTTTGACAAGAGCTTTGGCAGTTTAAGACCAGGTCCTCCATTATTTCTGCTGAACCAAGACTGAATCTAGATGATAGTAAGATTGATTTCATTCCAATACTTCGTTCGGGTGCGTGGTCAGACATTGGCATCCGCCCCAACATGGAGGATGTCTATGTCTGTGCTGACAATCTGATGCTCGATTATGGGTTTAAGAAATCTGACGAAGGACCAAATGCATTCTACATGGTAATTATTCTCCTCTTACACAGCTCAAGTCAAGGTGTTTCTTAACACTGATTATAATTATTATTGCTAGTGAGTTCTCATATCTGCCTTTTTAAGGTACTTGAAGCAGAATAAGGTTTCAATGAGTGATTAAATTGGTTGTTATGAGTTTTTCGGCATACCACTCCTTGTATTTTTTGTTTCATTTTTTCCCATGATATTAGCTATCCAACAAGAAAGTTGTTAAACTGATTTTGGATTAAATGGTTACTTTCATAGTTTTTAATGCTAATAAATCCATCTTGTGGCTATCTCAGGTAGCAAGTGAAGCTATATTTTTCCAATATGGTGGCATAAGAATATGTGGGATTCTATGTCACAGAGTCTGTAGACTAATTTCAAAGGACAAATGCCAGTGTGCAGGACTACTGAAGTCTAGGTTTGGTAAGGAATTTGAGGTAGCAATGTTGTTAGGCTTCCCATTTCGGGATGTCCATAAAGATTTTGCTTCATTTCGAAAAAGCAAACTTATCATATTGTACATTCTGAATGCACCATCACAAAAGATAAAAGTTTAAAATGATAGAAAATTTTTTGGGAAAAAAAAATTCAAATATCAGTTATTCAAAACTTTACTTATAATATCCTTACCGGATAAGTTCATGTCTTATTCATTGATGACATCCTCATCAACTATTGAAGTAAGAATGCTAGGAGCATTTGATGCCTTTGTGTTTCTCAAGGTTGTGCTAAAAATTATGGAACAGAATAATTAGAATTTTATCTCCTTCATCCTATGAGTCTGCTGTGAACGTCATTTAAAATTCCAGTTCTTTGCTAATAAATGCAAGAGATTGTTGAGTGGGCTCCAGCTCTACGTAATATCTACCGTATGATGGAAGAAAAGGACGACCTAGAGTTGGATGGACATTTTGAGCTGTTGTGACGCATGAAAGTAAGACAATCTTCTCATAAGAAATTGAAGAGATGCCTAAAATTTAATAATCTTTGATAACTGTAACTATTAGTGTATTTCGCATTAGGTTATCCACAGCAGATCAAAATTGATTTACTTATCCAGGAAAGGTAGATTTTGGAAGTAAAATAATTGGACACGATATTGATGGATCATTTTAAAAATTTCATTTGGAAGCTGAAATGATAACTTGTTAAGATGTTGCTACTTATAAAGCAGACGATTCTGATTTAAGAATATGGCTATTGGCAAGTGGTTTGTCTTGTTACCAAAAGAACTAATTTCTATTTGTTAATAGCTTAGAAATGTTGAATAACGAATTTCCATTACCTGAAGAGTAAAAGGGTAAATTTTGCGTGGAAACCATATTCGATATTAATAGTGAATTTTAGGAGAAATATAATAAATAACAGAATCTGATTTAGATTAGGATTGTCTAGGTTAGATTTAATTACTTTTGATATTTTGATAAGGTAGAAGTCCACTAGAATCCCCCTTGAGTTTTAGTTCTTTGTTCTTTAAAACAAAATCTGTGACTTCTATTTATATTAGACTTTGGAATTGATTGATTTGGATATAGAGAAATCTTCGTCTCTTTTTCTTCCCTCTTTCTCCATCAAGATCTGCATCACCATGTTTGCTATTTCACTGATTAAAGCCTTAAGGTTACTTGAAGGGTTAGTCTTTGGGATGTTCATTGTGTAGCTTGCTTCATTGTTGCAGTACTTTATATTCTCTCAATTATGATTTTATTACAATGCAGATTTCATATTTTGGCTCCTTTGTTTCTAAGACTTTTGAATAATTATGTATTTGTGAATGTTTATGTTGACACAGGTGTTGCTAGCTTCTTGTATGTAACTCTTCTTCTTTTGAGAAAATTTTAAACAAGAAAACTAGGCCTTCGTTAACTATTTTTTCCTCATTCTTTGAAATTAATTATAAGTACCTTTTGCATGAACACGTGGCTAGCTTCTTGTATGTAGCTTTTATTCTTTTGAGAAAAATTTAAACAAGAAAACTAGGCCTTCCAGCTTGCTTAACTATTTTTTCCTCATTCTTTGGAATTTCTTGTAAGTACATTTTGCATTACTGACTTCATTTAGTTGCATATGCTCTAGAACCATTTGTACTCCCAGTTGTTATGTATTAGTTCCAATTTACTAGCTGCATCCAAATATATATACTGGGATTCAGAAAATGGGATATTTGAAGCAATGGAATTGTTTGATATGTCCTACTTTCTCTGTGTCTTATAAGTGTGGAACTCAGTACAAATTTTCCCTTGATCGTGCCACGTTTTTGATGGACATGGAGGAAAGCATGCCGCTGACTTTGCATGTTACCACTTGCCAAGGCTCATTGTTAAGGACGAAAATTTCCATCGGGAGATTGAGAGAGTCATTGCATCAGCATTTCTGCAAACAGATACTGCTTTTACAGAAGCTGGTTCGTTAGATGCTGGTCTTGCTTCTGGTACCACTGCTTTGGCAGTTGTTGTCGTTGGAAGGTTAGAGTTCTTGTAATTCTTAAATTGGAACTTGTCGGATGGGTTTTGCGTCATTTTCGATTCCAAAATTCCTCAACTTCAGAATATGGCTTATGGTAGGTCTAGCATTATAATTTTTTTTGCTAAATAATGATATTATATTCATTATTCCCTTTTTATAGCTTTAAATGTTTATTTTTATTTTTTTTAATTTAAAAAAGTCGGGCATAATTTTAGAACTAGCCAAGTTATGAACTCTGAAGTATCCTTCATTGTCTGCATATCTGAGAAACTTCCATGTAATACTAGCCTTTTGAAAATAATGTTACATAGTTGATCAGAGCTTTGTTAAAAGATATGTGTTGCTTGATTATTGTTCTAACAGAATTTTAAACTAGCATGCTTTGTGAAAGACAAGATTATCTGAATCTTGTCTTTAGACAGTTATAACTTGACATCAGGTTGCAATACTCGACAATTACAGTTCAAGAATTTGTTGCCTTTTTTCTCAAAAAAAATGTAAGATGATTTGAGTTATGGCTTTCGAAAAATCTATTTTCCTTTAGAATGTACCCACCTTATTTGAGTTTGGGAATTTAACTTGAGACAGCTCATTAATGGTGGCAAATGCTGGAGATTGCAGAGCAGTATTATGTTGTCTCGGTAAAGCAATTGAGATGTCAAGGGATCACAAACCTGTTAGCTTGAAAGAAAGAAGGCGTATAGAAGCATCTGGAGGATACGTTTACGATGGATATCTCAATGACAGCTAAATGTTGCTCGTGCTTTAGGATATTTTCTCATAGAAGGATTGAAACGCGTGGATGGTGGACCACTTAGTGCAGAGCCTGAAGTCATGAGCACTAAACTATCAGCAGAAGATAGTTCCTCATCATAGGCTGTGATGGTAAATGGGACGTTTTCCTGAGTCAAAATGCTGTTGACTTTGCCCGTCGAAGATTACAAGAACACAACAATCCATTGAAGTGTAGCAAAGATCTCGTTAACGAGGCTTCGAAGAGAGAGAGTGGAGACAATTTAGCCGTGGTTGTAGTGTGTTTTCAACAACAACCGCCTCCAAACTTGGTTGCTCCTCGTGGACGCGTACACAGGAGCATTTCAGCTGCAGGTTTGAAGGAGTTACAAAGCTTCTTGGATAACCTAGAAGATTGAGATGGACATGAGGTTTTTTTTTTCCCTCTCTGTAATTTCCTTCCGTTGCTAAACCTTTACTTATCGTTCTCATTTGATGTTGAGTTAATTAGAGGATGTATTGTCCAACTGTAACATATGCGGCTCTCATACCTTTTTTTAGGTTTCTTTTTTCCACTTCAGATTTTCTCTAAATCGTTTCTCTGGGACATTCTCACTAATGTTAACTTTGCCTTGACTATAGGCATGTGATATTTTGCATGAATCTTGTTAACCTACTTAGCGTTAAGTAGGCGATTTGGTAGAAAGATGTTACTTATTTGCAATATTCATAAAAGTTTATTTCGGTGATCTGAACATATTTGTACTAGAAAATTTTAGATTGTTTGAAGGTTGCCACTTATCTACAGGCGCTGGAGTGGTACATTTGCAATTTTTGAATGGTTTCTCATATCTTGTGAGTGAATTTTATCTAAAATATGCATATACCTAAGTTTGATAGAGATATATATATATATTCAAAGACATGTTTGATATGATTGTTCAGATAAACATATGTTGATGTATTTTTCCTTTTTAGCTCTGTTTGTTGAAACACAATAAATGTATCATAAGACCATATTATCAACACTTTTATCTCTAATTTTCTTGTTTCACCATTTTTTCCTCTAAATGAAAAGATGGGTTGAATTTCAATATTTTAAAGGTTCAGTAATACATAAGATGAGAACAGTTCATAAACTTGTGTTGGTACTTATTCAAGAATGCGTTTTCTTCAACCCCATCAAAATGGTTGGGGAAAGCTCCTGGATTAATGCATCTTCAAGAAGCTTGTTTACTTCAATTTCTGGGAGCGTGATCATAACCACTCGGCTGAATGTATCCCTGCCGCCCGCAGGTGGTGGCAGGATCAGTATCTGCCCTTCTCCGACAGTGGGCTCAATGTAATATGAGACACGAAGTGACCTAGCATTGTCTTCAAAAAGGGCAGAATACGAGTCCACGTCCTCTAAATTGATACAAGTGAGATCATAACCGTTCATCCATGGTGGATTCTGGCAATTTCTCGCTTCCAACCACTCGATCAAGTCCAAAATCCCGTCAGCATCCATTTTCTTAACAACTTCCTTTATAGCATTTGCAGCTTCACATAATTCATGGCCTTCTATACCATCTCCATTCACCTTGTTGTATACCATACAGTTTCCGAAAAAGCCTCGGTCGAGGCCTAGCACTTTTCTCATGTCTAAACATATCGACATGTTAGTTAGACTGCCTTTTGTACCCTTCACCTTGCTGACAACAACCCAAAATAGTGCTGCCAGAGCCTCAAATGGTGTCCGGCTCGACTCTTTAGATGAAATCCGGGCAATGCAGCTTCTAACCAATTCGTCTTCAAATCTTAATGTTATGGTTACTTGTTTTGTGTCAAAAACTGGAGCTGGCATCTCTATAGACGATTTGTAGTGATCGATCAATTCCACGCAAGGATCGAGGTTGGCTTTCGTGTATCCCAGTCTTCGTCCGGGCTAGGGGTGAAAAAAAGGTGGATTGATCATTTTACCGCCCAANACGCAAGGATCGTGGTTGGCTTTCGAGTTTCCCAGTCTTCGTCCGGGCAAGGGGTGAAACAAAGGTGGATTGATCATTTTACCGCCCAAAGTCATGTCTGCCCATGCTTTCATAAGCATGGTGGCGCATGGAGGATCTGAAAGCAGGTGGGTGCAGCTCAATCCAATTGCAATTCCACCTTCTTCAAATTCAGTAACCTGCATATAGGGATGGAAAATGAATGGAATTACACAAGAATATACAAATTTTAGATTGATATATGTGCAATAACTTACACAATATTAGACTTATCATTTTTGTTGGATCCAAAGTATACTGCTCACTTATCTCTCAATTGTGGTCTGAATTCTTTTTTTTGGTATTCCTAGTTCTCTACTCTCATTCAT